CCTCCCTCCCCCTTAATTTCTCCGGCCCCGTCCCCCTCCTAAAATAAGAAATGCTCCTCATAGCGACGACTTTGAAAAATTAGCAAACGTTTTAAAACAAAGGAACCCCGAGAATTGAGATTTCTTTAAGGCTGCTTGGCAAAGTGTATGAGTATTTCCTTGGCTACACTTTCCAGTTAGAATTAGTCGTACAAAGAAAAACTCGTGCGTACGTACGTACACAGGCAACTTTTGACTAATGCAGCTTTTAAGTAAGTCATTGTACACTCTAGATGTGGAATGTAGTTGGCGAAGCAGAAACAGTCGCACAAGTTGCCACAAAAGTTACTTCAAAATTCGCCAGTATACGTGCCTTTCGCAAAAAGACTTCGAAATCGAGAGCGATATAGGAAGGCTTTAAAATTATTTTCTACCCAAAGCCCATTGGATTGTTTGAATAACAAGAGGGCATAACGAATGGTCTCATTAATGGGGCTGTGTTTACCGAGCAGTTTACTGGCTGCATGCTTGGTCCATAGCCGTACGAATGACTGTGAAAACTGTTCATACGTGCATTTGTTTGATGCGGCGAAGGATTGGGCTTCTGTATAGAATCCTTTAACTCTCGCTTCCATTTCATCCTACGGTTTTGAAACCAAATTTTGATTTGTGCTTCAGTTAGTTTCAGGCTTGTTGCTATCTCTATCCTTCTTGTTCTTGTCAAGTATTTACTGAAGTGAAATTCTTTTTCCAGTTCAACGAGTTGATGTTGAGTGAAAGTGAACCTTTTCTTCTGACTTGATAAAGAAATGTCATCTTTTTCGGGTGCTGGCTTCTGAGTCTGGGAAACCTTGACCGACGATGAATGACCTACAGAAAAAGGAAGCCATTGCAAAATTAAGACGATAAGAAGTTATGCAGTGAAAAATAAGTCTTGGAAATGTAAGAAAAGCAATTTTTCTGGGAGAGAGTAAAAAATGCAGATGTCTTTTTATGCAATTCTAGCAATTTAGAAAAGGTTTAATCTAGATAGAGCAGAATAAGAACAAAATATATTAAAAAGAAATCAGTGTGTTGTTAAATTTTATTTAGATTTTTCCCAGTTTTTATTCTTTCTTTCTTTTTTTATTTGTTTTATTTTTAGAATTCTTGTTTTTTCATATTCATGTAATTTTTGAAAATTACTAAATATGAATAAAAAAAATCCTTATCTCCTTTTTCTGGCGCATAATTGCCTTCGCTGAGGAGATCGTTGAGTATTAGTTATCTTTACTTGTAGCTACAAGATTTTTGAGTTCTTTATCGCATATACCAAAAATAAATACGAAAAACAGCAGATAAGTCACTGCAGGAATGATTTTCTCAGACTTTTGAGGCGGCGAATTGGATTACCATGATTTAGCATTGTTTTAAGAAATGCTTTTAGAGGAAGCTTTGAGAACATAAAGCCCTGAGAAATATAAAGCCCTGTGATGATTTAGGGATTAAAAGAAAGTGAAAATTCATCTGAGCTTCTTAATCAAAATTTTAACTTTCTTGTATGAATTTTTCGGCAGTCATACTCCTTCCGTCTTCAGTACTCACTGCAATGAAAATACTTTATCGAATCTTCTGAATTTTCTTGACGGTTTTCTAGTCATTTGATTCCAACTGCTTTTAAAATTAACTTTAAATATATGTTGTACAAAAATTCAGTTTTCAAAGCTAAAAAAGAACGACTTTACGAAAAAAATGGTAAATTTGAAACTTTAATTTGTAGATGTGCACGACCTCTTTGTAGTGTGGAAGACAGAATAATCTGAACGATCGATATTTTGTTAGTAAATTGAATATTTCCACCTTTCAGACATCCTCAAGTGGGTTCATAATTATATTAAAGCATATATAGGATATTAATTATACAGCTTTTATCTCAAAACACTAAAAAATAGGATATATTTTGATTTTACATTGAAGGAATTTTGACGCTTTCGAGAACCGGCTCTGCAAACCACCTGAAGTGAAGTAGAGTTGTTTACTCGAAGTGGGCAGACAATCTCCAAATACAGGTGTGGCTCGAGGGCAAAAGATAACGCTAAAAATCCCTTATCGGATTTTACTCTATTAGACATCTCAATTAGAACAAATTAGATCAAAATATACCATTGTAACGAGATAAAATACTCTACTCTTCAAGCTCGTTATTAAATGTTTCAAAAAGCTAGACTCGATATAGACTCATGTTTACACGTTGCTGTATTTTCTAGGTTAAGATGATTCAATTGGAAAATTCCAGTTAATTCACTTAAATTCATCTATTTACTTTAAAGCCAAGAAACAAAAAACCAAAAATACTTCCCTGTGTTCTATTTTTAGGACTCTAGGTTTTATACGTCTACTGGAACTCATTTGAAAGACCAAGCTTCAAAGCATGAATTTTATAATTGTAGCTTAGATATTCAAATTGGCTTTTTGACAAATTTTCTCCACATCTTCTACCTAATTCAATTATCTTCATAGCAGGACTGTTTTGATTTGAAAACTTTTTCAATGAGTCAGAAAATAATGGTTTTTATTAGAGGGTTTGGGGTCTTAATTAGCAGACAGTGTTTTTATTTATTCCTGAATCGAAGCGAATGGAAAACTCACGAACCATCTCCAACTTTCACACCTCGATCTCCACATCGCCAATTTATCATCTTTTGACTTTTAAGTTTTAAACTTAAACTCTTTTGTGATTTTTAGGGTTTTTTTAGTGTCTCTTTTCTATGTATCTATGATCTTTTCACCTAACTGAACTGATCCCAAAAATAAATCCAAATTGTGCTCTTAAGATTAAAGATTTTGAATTGCTCATACATTTTTATTTTTCCTTTATTAAACGCATTCTTGAATTGAAGATTTTCTTAAAAAGTATTGGAAGAACATATTTAATTCATTTACTTTAGCTGTTGATTGTTCGCATATCCATTCCTTTTATTTTTCCATGAACAAAGTTAACGGCTTTTATTTTTCAGTACAAATCTTATGTCGTTCGCCTTTGAAATTACTAGCTGAACATAATTCCATTTTTATTTTTATTTTTTTTTCAAAAAAAACATATCCTTTATTTATTATTTCATCTTTGGAAATATGCAAAAAGACCTACTAAACTGAGAGTCATTACAAATAAACCTTTTTTGTTTTAAAACTGAGAATATCAAAGATTTCTGGCATACCTTTTCGCTTTGTAAACATCCATCTGAAATCTGCAGTTTGCCATCTTTTCTTCTCGGAGTGAGCTGCTTTTTTCTGACTTTGTGAAGTTGTGTTTCTAAGGTAATTGGTTGGACAAGTCTGGCTCACAATTGGCGCCACTTGAGTGTGACTCAACCCGATCGATTGATTGTTGTTAAAGAAATACTGATTTCCATTGGAGAATTGTCCACTTGTCTGATGAATTTGAACCGGGGCGTGAGTCAGTGGAACAGTCTGCCCGAAATCGAGAGTAGGATCAGTGTAACAATGGTTTACATTACTGGCCATGCTAGCTGTGTGTGGTAAAGGATACTGGCATTGCCAATCATTCATGGTTAACCTATAAAAGACTTAAGAGATAGTAAAAGAAACGAAGTGAGAACAGATTGATAGACACGATTCGATTGGAAGTGTTGATCATATTTGGATCAATAGTTATAGAATAGGAGGAAGTACTTAGAATGAACACTACTAAATAATAACTACAGAAATATGCACTTAACTTACATTTAAGAATGAAAACTTATGAATTTAGTTTGTAGTATCCGTCTTCAGACGTGCTAGTTCTATCACGTTTGATTCTCACCCGGCCATGGTATTCCGATAACATCTCGTATTTGAACTGTTCGCTTACCGTGCAAGGAGGAACCTTGTTAATTTGAAATCAACCCCCTGGCGTGTTTTCAACACACTCTCACGAGCTAATGAAAAATAAAATCACATTAACTCATTCTTGGCCGTAAACAAAGTTCATCGCGAAGATATATCCCACAGGAGGTCGACTCGAATACACCTTTAAATATCTCAATTGCATAAAGAAACGCTTGCGAGAGTAGCGCTTGCTCTCTTGTATACAGAACACGTTCAGTAGGGGTCCCAAAATATTTGCTTATAAAAACAAGAAGGTGTTCTCCGTGACTGAAAGCCCATGATGAAACATCAGCATAGATTTGAGCTATATGAAATGTTTTGTTGAAACCAAAATTTCGAAAGCAAGTTAGAAGCATCGGCCAATTTTTCCGTTCTCGTAAAATCGAGTCCGCCCATAAATTGGTTCATGTCCGATGCCATTATAAATTGCAATGATTAATAAGGTCCAAGGTAGATTCGTAATGTTTTCCCTCAAGTAATAAATCATTACCAATTATTGAAGCTAAAAAATTGCATCAACGATATAAATAAATGATAAGATTTTTTTTAGATGCTCGAATAGGAAGACTTCGACAACCAAAAAAAGGGGGCGCTTATTTTCCGTTCCGCCGGAAAAGCACTCTAGAAGTTCTCAAAAAAAAAAAAAAAACTGGATTCAATCACCTTCATGATTCTTAGATATTTTCATCGAGAAAGAAAAGCCGTGCTCCGGAACTGATCCTCAAAGAAAAAAGCCTAAATACTACTGCTCAGTTATTTTGTATATCCAAAATTGAGATTAGGTTCACATGGGAGCGAGATTCCTGTGGTTTTTAGTTATAACTGAACGCGCTTCCACACAGAGACAAACAAAGCAACCACAGACTTCGATGTGAGTTTTTTTGTAGAAAGCCTACTAATAACGATGCCAATGAAAGCACAACTCAGCGTAATAGTAATCAAAAATCGAACTAATATTCAGAGATGCTCAACAGTTTTTGGTCTGCCGCTTTCAAACCACAGAGGCAAGCGTTGCTCAAGCGTTGACATAGCGAATATCATAATGTAGCTCAGTGTTTACAGCTAAGTTTTGGCTTTTTTTTTAGCAGCATTTAAAATCTTCAATAATATTCGCAGAAAGGCTGATATTTACAGCCATTAAAAGAGAACCGGCTTAAAATGAGCTTGAATAAATGATTATATAAATTACTGCAGAATATGACCAAACRATTAAGTAGAAAGCATTGAACTTCCGTATTGTATTTTATCACATTTAGAATCGTGAAATAAAACTAAAAATAGTAACGATTTTAGGATAGAATGGAGAAATAATATATATAGTTTAATGAGCATCGAAATTAGGTAATTCTTGAATTCACATTTTTTTTACATGAGACCTTTGTTGGAGTAAAAACGAGATGTTTTGACTTAAACGAGTCATTTAACGAATTTTTTACGTCTGTACATCTTTTTGCCAAAAACACATAAATAAATTAAATTTTAATATCGCTTTCCTCGCTTTGGCCTAAAAATGTTACGATGATTGAAGTACCACTTGAAGTTCGATAGTTAGATAATCAACACTGACCGCAAACGGGAGTGATGAGATTAGGGGATCATGCACACAAGGGGACGATCGATATTCAAGAAACGAGCTCTTCTCAACCAAGATAATATCTCAAAACTCTATTCAATAGATACAATAGAAAAAAAGGTTATCTTTGAATTGAGTACTTTAAATGTAAAAGTTGTTAGAGCGTGTACAACGTCCTAAGCATTCATTACTGACCTCCTGAAAGATGTATTCCTCACGTAATGACTGTGTATCTTTAGTACTCAAAACCCAGTCATTTTACCACAGAAACAAGCCATGAAGTGACCATGCTTTTCAAGCATTATAAACAGAATCCTTCAAAGAAGAAAGCAGCTTTTTATTGAAAATGCCAAGTTCAAAGAGCCCGGCTTCCAGAACTCTACTAGAAAACACGCTGAGCTCGGCAACATGTGGCTGACTTTGATGTCTCCGCAATATACGTGTGTACTATCTTGGAGGAGAGACTTTATTTAAAAACAGAAAGAAAAAACTCTTCAAAAACATACGCTTTTATCCATTTAGAATGTAGTTGCTATCGTAAAATCTAGAGCTGATACTTTAATCATTTCTTTATGAGTTTATTTGATTAATTTTCATTCAATATGTACTCCGTAATTCATGGTCCTTTTTCCTGCCTCCGAGACGGTAGGTCTTACAAAACGTTGCTTCTCCCACTGCGTCTCTTTATACCCGATCAAAAGAAGAAGCAAAACGAAAGGATAAAAAATCAATTTCGAAGACTTTAAATACGGAGTCGAGACCAAACATACTCAACCACGTCAATGAGAATGTGAATGGCCGGCGTAGTGAATGGCAGGTACCGGCAACATCAATGTAGAGCTACTTTTGGATCAGCGTTGCTTGAATTCACTTGTTTTCAAACTTTAAACTATAGTCTTTTATTAAGCCTAAATTGCTTTTGTACGTCTGGTATTCGGCGTTTTCTAGCTCATCTGAAGTTTTTGGACAATGCCAAATGTCCATCTTTATTACTATCGATATGTAAGTTAATAAGCCTTGATTTTCTGACTTTTCTGTTTCAGAGTTCGCTCTGTGTTAGCCGTGCAATGACTTAGATCACCCCAGAGGTTGTTCAGGCTTAGATCTGTAAGTTAGCCGTGCCCAGACTTAGATCAACCCAGAAGTTGTTACAGGGTTTGATATGTGAGATGGCGGTGACCTGACTGCCAGAGGTTGTTATAGTTTCAGGGTTTCATAAAATTGAAAGGTATGATAAGTATCCAACGCTATAGTATCCTCCTAAAACCCTCGTAAAAATAAAAGATAATATTAGTATTGGAACATCTTTATCAATATTTACTGAGCAAAAAACTTGTTTAAAATCAAGCTTACAATTTCATTAAGAGGTGCAATGCAATTTAACTTGGCTCGACGAGAGAAGTGGGTACAAAGAAACACAAAGGGTGCAATGAAATAAGAGCGAGGGAGTGAGGGAGTGAGGGAGTAGGGACGGAGGGACGGGAGGGAGGAAAGGAGGGACAATTTTTTTTTTTGGTAATAGAAAGAAAAAATACTACCTTTATAAGGAGGAATTAAGGAGACCATAGAATAGTTTACTTTGCATTAGAAAGTATTCTTTTACCCCCCCCCCCCCCCCCCCCCCCCCCACCCCCCCCCCCCCCCCACCCCATGTTCCACTAAAACAAATTGAGGGCCCTCCATTTTCTTCTCTCCCCCCCCCCCCCCCCCCTCAATAAAGGGGCTCACTACTAGCACGGCGTTCACTTAACACCTTTTCTAGGTAATTTACTTCACTAACCCCATGAAGTTCCAAATCAGTGCTTTACACGCAGTCTTTGCTATTATCTCGAAGTTTCTACCAAAAAAAAACACGAAGCTATTGATGTGGTAATTGATTTCAATCGATCGAAATGAATCTTCAAGACTAGACAATGAATATTTCAGTAGCATAAGCTTTTGTCTAGCGACGTATTAGCTTGTCTTCACTTGGAACTTCTCGTCCACAAAAACAATAAAATCACTTGCAGTTTTTAAAAAATGGAAAAAGAAAAACATCTTTAAATACTAAAAACCTGCGATATCATCCTGAATTTAAGCGACTTTTTAACTTGTCTTCAGTGTTATAACTTCTCGTATCTTTTTACTAGACTATGTTTTCACAAAAACACCTTTAAATACTAAAAACCCACAATTTTTTTCTGAAGTCTCCGCAAAAAATGTAAACTACTTATAGTGAAAGAAAAACAATAAATAGTCGTATTAAAAAAGTTTATAGTTGCGTAACGCGAATTGAGCGCGTGGCGGCCATTGTTACAAGCCTTTGGTCGGTTTCCCTTTAACTTGGAGATGTTTACTTTAAATAAATCAAAACAAACGCTAATTATATCCTTTTCTAAAGATTTGACCGAAAATAATCATTATCGTATTAATTCTTATTCAAAGCACTTTTTTATTGTTTAGGATTGAACGTGTAATTGGTCGTGGCGTCTTTGAAATCTTTGCTCTCTACATTCCTAAAGATTTCGGGGCCCTCCTTTAGCCGCCGTTCGTGTTGAAAAATCAAGTTTTGATTGGTTAAGGCTATGAGGGGGATTGGAGGGCATTAGTAAATGTATGAAAAAAATTTCAAACTTCGGCAATGAGGAACGAATGATACTATAGTCTCGGGTAAATGTATATAATGGAGGGTCGAAGCGGAATTGGAATTTAGGGGAAGTCGATTTTTGCGGGGAGAGGAAAACAAGAAAACAATATCACATGAACTGAAAAAAACTCACACTAATGAAAACAAATAGCTTCCAATTCGTCTTTTAGCTCTATAGGAAGCAGGTCTGACAGACAATGAACGTTTATTTATCGTCTCAAACTGGTCATAGAAACCTAATGTTATGCCGTTAGAGACGTAATTTTTTGTCAAACTCGAATAAAATCGGAATTGTTTCGTGGTCCAAACCCACACTCAAATAACAGTATGGTGTCAGAGGAGCTGCTCTTAATTTGTTTACCTCTTATTTTAGAGTTCGTTCTATATTTATAGGAAGATAGGAAGGGGGTGGGGTTTGTGAAAAAAGGGGCTTGGAATTTTAGTGGCCCTGCAATAGGGCGTCAGTTAATTGAAAATAATTGATGATTTATATACAGAAAAGGGGTTCACAATGTTGGAATTAAATGAAACCAATTGCGAATGCTAATTCAGTGTTCAAACAGGTTAACGTTTTCGCAAACGGCTGTGCGCACTGCTCATTTTGATGTTGCATCACTTTTTTCTGGAGAAGATCTTTTTGCCACAGCACCAGAAGTTGGATTCTTTTTTAGAGGAGTTTTCACGAACAGCTGTGCGCACAGCTGTAGGGATGACTGCATCGAGCCCTTCACGGGTGAGAGCGCTGCATTCCAAGTAGGTAGAGATACCGAGTCTACCAGCGAGTTGTCTGCCTTCTTCATACGTCACATAGTCCTGGGGAGATCTAGTGATATTGATATTAGGGACTAATTCAGCACAGCAAATACCACAAACAGAAATGAAAGGCCACTCAATCAATGAGGAAATAAATAGGCAAAAAATAAAATAAAAAAATAAATAAACAAAAATAAACAAAACAAAACAAAACGAAACGAAACGAAACGAAACGAAGCAGAGCAGAGCGGAGCAGAGCGGAGCAGAGCGGAGCAGAGCGGAGCAGAGCGGAGCAGAGCGGAGCAGAGCAAAAACACAACACACACAACACAACACAACACAACACAACACAACACAACACAACACAACACAACACAACACAACACAACACAACACAACACAACACAACACAACACAACACACCGCACCGCA